GCCCGTAATTTGGGTAAACCGGCTCGTGCAGATATCCGTTGTCAGGGCATGAAGTTACAAGAAGCGGCTTATTGGCTACACCCACATGTGGAAGCCACTGGGCTTCAAGACAAAGATGAAGGCCACTTTCGTGGCGCCTGCGGCAGGTTTGGTATTCTTGCTGCGACTGCCGCAAGGGATATTATTAGATTCGCCAGAAAGCGAGTGATGACGATTCGCGAGAGAGGAGGCGCCGATGGGCCCCCCGACGGCCAAGCCGATGCGGAGGGGCCCGCCTTGGCGAAAGCACGGCCCAGACCGCCACCTCCTCCGCGCAGGCCCGACGTCCAAGACGACCGGGCTAACGATGAAGTCACGGAATCCCCGTGCTCTGCCGGCGGTCAAACCGCTGCGGCAGGGGATGACTATTCATGGTATTCGTCAGGCAGGGACGCGCGGGATTGGTCGGGGCCTACGCGCGCGCGCGGCGGAGCCATTGATGTCGGCCGCGGCGCTGCTGGCCACGGCCCCATCGAAGCACTACCCGCACTACACCAATGATGCGCTGGATGGACACTTGGCTCACCAGGGCGTGCTATCCTGGATGGACCCGAGAGAGAACAAGTCACGAGCGTGGCACGTTGTGCACCTGAACGATTACAACTGGTACTTTCCGAGGAAAGGAAAGGATTTCAAGAACAAGGACAAGCGCAACAGGCCAGCGACTTACGCTGGTCGCGGCGAGGGATTCAGATCCCGCTCGCCCCGCTGGGCCGCGGGTCAGACGGGAGGCTCGTCATCTTCACTTCCGAGACCTCCATCGCCACCATGCGGGGGATCTCTTTAGAGCAAGATATGAGAGAAGGCCGAGCCCGCGCGACCAAGTCGCTGCGGGCTCAACCGATCGCAGAGAGAAATTATTTATCTATTGGTGGGAATCTCGGGTTTCTTCGGCCCTCAGCTCCCTGGCAGCCACCGCTGAGCGGTGAAAGTTTTTGCGGTTCGCTCCGGCGGTTGTATAATATGTACAGGCCGGGGAGGCTGCGGCTGGATGGGCCCTGCGAAGCCCGCCGCGGGGGGAGTAAATCTGCCCCTCTCCGCCTCATCTTACACTTGCCTCTCTCGTTGCCTTCCTTGCCACGCCCTGACACTGCGGCTTTGCACCGCAGCTGTTTGTGCTTACAGGAGATTAAAGGAGCGTGCTGGCTCGCGCGCGCGCCGAGGGGTCGTTCCCTCGTCGTAGTCGCGTCGTCGGCCGGCCGGCCTCCTCCCATACGATTCCTGAAATTGCTTAACGGTTACTTGTAGTTTCATCGATGTCTCATCCTGTAGCCTTTACTACTGAGCAGAGTCAACACGAGACCTTCATTCCTTTGTTATCTTACCCCGATGCTCAGAGGAAAAACTGGAATGGGGTCCTGAGTCGTATACGAAGACATGACATGAACCTGAACTTTCGAAGGTCCGCGTGGAGCTCTGACAGTTTGTGGTTGTGCAGCTGTTTCTTCTGCTTATTCTTCTTCTTATGATGCTTTTCTTTGTCTCGGCCTCGATAGCCGACCGCTGGGGCCAATCATTCCAGAGTGCTTTCTGGCAAGGATCACGAGGCGGAGCCAGCCGTGTCGGCGACCCTGTCCTCCGCCGAAGAAGCAACAAAGCAACGCGAAGCGAAACAACCAAAAGTCCGCCTCACTCGCAAGACCCTCCGCGGACCCCCCCAGAGTGCTGACCAGTCACACCTATTCTACTGGGGCGTTTTCCAGTCTCGCCTGCTATGGGTTCAAAGGTGCGGTTTTGTTTTGTTTGTCCTCTGGTTAGGTCTTGGCCTTCCTCCCCCACGCAAGGTGTCTGGATGGGGAGGCCCCCAGCCCTCCCGAGGGCCCAAGGACGTCAAACAGATCAGTCGCGATGTCTAATCCTCGGGCCCGCGTCCCCTGTGAGGAAGGCCCTCGATTCCGCTCAATCCTCCTTGACCTTTGATCCTTTTTCCTCGTTCCCCATTCTTCGACCTCCCTCGATCCGCTTCGAACCTCGATCCTCTTCGGTCCTCGATCCCCCACAATTCTCGACCATCTTCGATCCTCGATATCTGTGTGGGCCTCCTCGCTCCGCCTGTATCCTCGATGTTGTCCTTTTCGGACCCAGGCACCCGACGGTGTGATTTTTCAGTCCGCGGGTCCCAGAGGTCTGCCCGCCTTTCAGTTTGTCGCCCTGGGTGAATTGTGATAGAGCCCGGAAGCAGATCCCGCACGCCGACATTTCACATTACCCGACCGAGGAACCCAAACATATTTTTATTATGTCTGGGGTGATGATTGCTGAACTCACACATGCGAGAGCGATGTTGGTGGCCGTCCCTCAGCGCTGTCTCCTATGCGCTGCAGGCTCGCAAGGCATGGCAGGCGTGGCATTTTCTCGGCACCACGGGGGTGCGCAGGGAGTGGTCCCTGAGCGTGGCCTCTATCCGCTGCAGACTCGCAAGGCGTGGCAGGCGTTGTACTTTCTCGACACCTGTGGGGGTGCGCAAGGGGTGGTCCCTCAGCGCTATCTCTATGCGCTGCAGGCTCGCAGGGCGTGGCTTGCGTGACGTTTCCTCAGCACCACAGGGGTGTGTGCAGGGGGTGGTCCTTCAGCGCTAGCTCTATCTGTTGCAGGCCCGCAAGGCGTGGCAGGCCGAAAGCCCTCTCGACACCGCAGGGGGTGCGCAGGGGGCAGGGGGTGGTCCTTCAGCGCTGTCCCTATTCGTTGCAGGCTCGCAAAGGGGTGGCAGGCGTGGCAGTTCCTTTGGACACTGGGTGCGCAAGGGTGGTCCCTCAGCGCTGTCTCTATGCGATGCAGTCAGTCAAGGCGTGGCCGGCGTGGCACTTTTTCGGCAACAGAGGGGGTGCGCTGGGGGGGGTCCCAGAGCGCTGTCTCTATGCGTCGCGCTCTCGCAAGGCGGGGCAGGCGTGGTAATTTCTCTGCACTACAGGGGGTGCACAAGGTGTGGTCCCTGAGCGTGGCCGCTATCTGTTGCAGGCTTGCAGGGCGTGGCAGGCGTGGCACCTTCTCGGCACAACAGGGGGTGCGCAGAGGGTGGTCCAAGAGGGTTGTCTCTATGCGTTGCAGGCTGCAGGGCGTGGCAAACGTGGCATTCCCTCGGCACCAGAGGGAGTGCGCACGGGGTGGTCCCTGAGCGCTGTCTCTATGCGTCGCGGGCACGCAAAGCGTGGCAGACGTGGCAGCTTCTCGGCACCACTGGGGATGCTCAGGGGTTGGCCCCCGAGCGTGGCCTCTATTCGTTACAGGCTCGCAGGGCGTGGCAGGCGTGGTGGCAATTTTTCGACGCCACAGGGGGAGGGCGCAAAAGGGGGTGGTCAGGTGGGGCGCGTAGGGGATGCGGTCTCTATCCCCTGCAGGCTCGTCGGGCGCTGCAGGCGCTGCACGTCGTGAGTGCTAGATAGGTGCGCAGGGCGCCTTATCCGTGATTGCAGCGTTCTTGGCTCAAGCTTGCCCGGCACGAGTGCGCCTTCACGCTGGCACGCCTGAAACCCTTCACTTGACGGCGACAACCGCCCGACCTGCGCGCGGCAGCCATGCCGCCCAAAATTGCGATGGACGCCTTGCCACCGCCTTGCTTAGCGATGAAAAACGCGCTGCTCCATCTGGGAGGCCAGGTTACTGTTGAAAGCTCGCGCAGATGCGAAAACGGGATGGTTCAGCCCGCTTTGAATGCGTACCGCCACCAGCTTTCACATTGGTGGCCCAATATGCTCTATTCCAAGTATCCCGAGTTGAGCGACGACGGCAAGAGGCAGTGCCTAGTGTCGTACCTGCTGAACCTTGCGTCGGGCGGGTTCCCTCCCGAGGTTCTTTCAGATCAGCCAGTAGCCGGCAGGCTTCCTCTCATGTCTTCTTCAGCAGTTTCATTCGCAATTCCGAGACCTTCCGCCGAAGAGATGCCAAGGCTACCGCGGTGCGCGCGCAGCAGCGCGGACCCAGCTGAGAACGAGGAGAAACATTCAAAACGTGGTTCCTCCCTCCTCTGTTCCAATCCCTGTCTTCCTCGCATCGACCGAGGCGAGACAATGGAGGCAGAGGTGAAACAGTCGCGACGAGCTCCCAGAACGTGGGATTGCGCATAGATGGTAATGATAAACAAACACAGCTGAATTAGATTCCGTGTGTGGGGCTCTTCGGTCGCGCAAGCCAACTTGATGTCCGACCGTGCGTCCCGACGGAGGCGCGTCAGGCACAATATCACTTTCGCTATCTCTCTCTCCATATGTATATATATATATATATATATATATATATATATATATATACAGCACTTCTGAAAAAAGGATGAAACGGCGCTCCCTTGGGCGTCGAAGGGGCTTGAGCTAAAACGGCTACGTAAAAAGAAAGGAGGCGCACAGTGCTCTTCGATCCTCGGTCCTCCAAGATCTTCGATGCTCATCGGTCATCTTCGAAATCCGATGCGAACAAGACATCGGCCTGTCAGCAAAGGCCCCCCGGACACTTCTGATCTTCCAGTTGCCCCAAGAACCCACAGAAGCTCTTGGGCACTTTAGTAGCAAGGTTTCTTACGGCGCGTGTTCACGATCCGACGCCATGAAGTCCAGACATTCTCCCCTGCGCCAGATTTTCATCCCGAGCCGTTGTTTGACGGTCCTCGGGCCGGGCAAGCGCCACCGCAGGGCGAAAACGGCCGAAAGCCTCCCGCACGACGCGAGCATGATTGGGTCCTCGTTATTCCTCATCGATCCTGGTCCTCCTCCAGGCTCCCTTTCGATCCGATCGATCTGATTCGATATCTGCTATGGCGGGCCGTGTTTGATTCGGTTTCGATTTTCGGGCGATCTCGTGCTTCCCCTTTTTTCTATGACGTTGTGATGCACCGTGGTGCTGCCGATTCGATCCGATTCCGATTCCGGGCCGATTCAACCCAATTCGATACACGTTCCGATTCGGTTTGGTTTCCGATTCAATGCTGATTGCTCCTGTCTTCGGCTCCGCTTGGCTACCCTCCGCGAGAGGACGGCGAGGGCGCCTACGCGGGCACCCTGGCGCGCGCTCCGCGGCTGGGAGACGCGCAGGCAGGCGTCCTGCATGCGGACGTCGCGAGGCGGGCGCCCCCCTCCTGCCGGCAGCCGACCGGTCCGGCCTGGGATCGGCAGGCCGATCCACACGGCATGGAAAGGCGGGTCCTCAGGGAGAGGCCCTCGTCCTCCTCCTCCTCCTCCTCCTCCTCACGCTAGCCCGACTTAAGGATCTAGCCTGTAGTTCTTCTAGAGCGATTGTGAAAGTGGAAAAAACGATTCGGGGCACTGATACCTGGCGGGCGCCGCAGAAACAGTTGTTATAGAAGGCGGGCAAAAACGTATAACAGTGAGTAGGCGCCCGTCAGGTACAGGAAGCAGGATGTACCTCAATGGGCCACAGACATTCCGTTATCCGTAAGGGCTTCGCCCCCTGCCGCCGGCCCCCTCTCTTGGAGAATGGGCCATGGAAGAGCGAAGTCATGAGGCTTTGGCTTTGCCGTGAAGCAGTGTCGGGACCTATTTTTTTTCGACCCTGACCCTGCCGATCTGCGTGAGGGGTGCCGCCGAATTTCCAGACATGTGGCAAATCCCTTCTGTTTTTGGACCCTGACCCTACAGATCCGCGTGAGGGGTGCCACCGAATTTCAGGAATGTTTCAAATCCCATGTGTTTTTGGACCCTGACCCCGCCGATCTGCGTGAGGGGTGCCACCGAATTTCAGAAATGTGGCAAATCCCTTGTGTTTTGGATTTGCCGCATTTCTGGAGTTCGGTAGCACCCCTCACGCAGATCGGCGGGGTCAGGGTCCAAAAACACAAAGGATTTGCTACATTCCTGAAATTTCCTGGCACCGCTCACGCTGATCGGCAGGGCCCAAAAAACACGGATGATTTGCCACATTTCTGAAATTCGGTGGCACCCCTCACGCAGATCGGCGGGGTCATGGCCCAAAAACACATGGGATTTTCCGCATTTTTGGAATTCGGTGGCAGCAAATTGCAACCTCGACTGCTGTCGCTCAGCCGCCAGAAACTCTTTCCATGCATGATCCCGTCGGCGCCTCGGGAATTCACGGGGGTACGCCATGGTTCACCGAAGAGTATTTGATTGATTCTGGGATGCTTTAGAAGAGGCCGGTCGCTTTCGGTCGAGGGGGAGGTCGGGCGAAACGCTGAACATGTTTCCGTCCAGGGCGCCGACAGACACGACCGTACGCCAGGCGTACACGGGGGGTGGAGTTGGAACGAAGCGGAGACTGAATCGCAATGCTGGGGGACCGACTGTCTTTGCCAACTCCGCCTCCCTCTCCCGCTTTCTCCCCCCATCCCCGATCTCTGGGCCCCCCATCTCCCCTCCTCCTGGCTCTCCCTCCTGGGGCAAAACTTCGCCCCCTGACTGGGCACGCACGGCCAGGTAAACGTCGCCGCCTCTTAGGCCCCTCCCCTCTTTCTGGCTCCCCTTTCCCAGGCTCCTCCTTGTCAGGAAGGACTCGAGATCTTCGGGGCGACCTCCCACGCCGACGACGCCTCCTCCTGACTCCCTCCCTCCTCGCGCCTGCTCCTCCCTCCCTTCCCGCGCATAATCCTCCTCCTCCTCCTCCTCCTCCTCCTCCTCCTCCTCCTCCTCCTCCATTGCCCTTCGAGGCGCCTCATGACTCCTCCTCGCTCCTCCTCGCTCCTCCTGCTCATCCGTGCTCCTTGCTTACCGGCCTCGTTCTCCTCCACAGCGGAGGAGCGGGGAGGCAGAGGACGAGAAGAAACAGAGAGCGGAGGGGAGGGACCTCGGGCCCGCCCAGCGCCCTTCTGATGCTGAGGGGGGCAGGCAGGCAGGCGGAATCGTCGTCGTCGTCGTCGTCGTCGTCCTCGTCCTCGTCCTCGTCCTCGTCCTCGTCCTCGTCGTCGTCGTCGGCGGCGATCTAGGCTCGTGCCGCTCGCCGTCGGGTTCGCGGCCATCGCGATCAGAGCTCGTCAAGATCCTCGTCGTTGCAACGCTCGACGCCGCCTTCGTCTCCAAGCGTTTGTGATTCCCCAGACATCCGACGATATGTTTGTTTCTTTCGATGCGCGGCCTCATATGTCCCGACCCCTTCCCGTGGGGAGTTTCTTGTTCTGGGTACGTCTTTTTGTGATTCTGGGGCCCGAACTCGGGCTCCGGGGGGCCGAAATCGAGGCAGGCAGATCGTCGAAGATCTCGGCCCTGCGATGCAACGGGCGGAGCACGCCTCCCCGCGCCGCCGTAGCCGATCTTTCTGCGCTCGGCGAGCATCAGGATGCACCTCTTGGGAGGTTAGGGTCAGCATCGGCCCTGGCACATCCGTGGTCGAGAACGGGCCTGATCTGGCGTGGCCCGCTTCTTCTGGCTCTCACTCCCGGTTAATTCGGTTCACTGTCGGTCCTGATGAGTAGGTAGGTCGACCCTGGCAAAACGAGGGCACATTTGTGTCCTGTGTTTCGCGACCCCTGCCTTCTGCATTCCTATGGCAGCGTGGCCCTCTGAAGAGTCGTGTGTCCTCTCGCGTGTCCTCTCTAATCAAGTCCGACTGTAGCTCCCAGCCTCAAGTCCAGCACCATCTGGCTTCGTGGTAAGATTTCGTAATCGTTCTCACGACGATCCCCGAGGAGGTGCTCCCCAACCGAGCGGGCCCCTGCCCGTGTCCACACGCGGCGAACATATAACCGTACCTATACGACCACCCTTCGGGTGAACAGGAGGTTGTGGGGCGGGAACCAACGTATGACTCAATCGATCTCACGATCGATCTAACTCAACGGGACACCACGGGACACCACGGGACACTTGTCGATCTCACTATCGATCTCACTCCACGGGACACCACGGGACACCACAGGACACCTCGGGACACCGCGGGACACCTCTCGATCTCACTATCGATCTCACTATCGATCTCACTCAGCGGGACACCACGGGGCACCACGGGACACCACGGGACACCACATCGATCTCACTATCGATCTCACTATCGATCTCACTCAACGGGACACCACGGTACACCACGGGACACCACGGGACACCTCTCGATCTCACTGTCGATCTCACTATCGATCTCGCTATCGATCTCACTCCACGGGACACCGCGGGACACCTCGGGGCACCACATCGATCTCAGCATCGACATCACATCGATCTCACTCAACGGGACACCACGGGACACCACGGGCCACCTGTCGATCTCACTATCGATCTCATTATCAATCTCACTCAACAGGACACCACGGGACACCTCGGGGCACCACATCGATCTCACTATCGATCTCACTCAACAAGACACCACGGGACACCACGGGACACCGCCAGACGGACGGACGATCGGGCGGGGGAGAATCATTTGTCTTGACTTCGCCCTAGCAACGGCGGACACCACCGGACACCTTGGGACACCGCGAGCCACCGCCGGACGGGCGGGAGGGGGAGAACCATTTGTCTTGACTTCGCCCTAGCAACGGCGGACACCACGGGACACCACGGGACACCGCGGGACACCGCGAGCCACCGCCGGAAGGGCGGGAGGGGGAGAATCATGTGTCTTGACTTCGCCCTAACAACGGCGGACACCACGGGACATCACGGGACACCGCGGGACACCGCGGGCCTCCGCCGGACGGGCGGGAGGGGGAGAATCATTTGTCTTGACTTCGCCCTAGCAGCGGCGGGTTCAGTCCTTTGGCGCGCCCACGCAGCTTCGCCTCCCCCGCATGCACGACACTAACGAAACGAAACGATTTCCCAGTTGGGGTCTCCGTCCCACTGCGATCTCACCCCCCAACCTCCGATTCGCGCCCTCTCGGTCGGGCTTGTCCCTGGGCGCGCTGCCGCGGATGCGCGGTCGCACGGATGATCTTTTTTTGCGCGGGGCGTCCGCGAAGAGGCGCTCCGTGTCCGCGGGGTCGCGGCCGAGGGGCCGGGCCCACGAGGCCGCATATACGGACGTGTGATTACGCCGCGGGGAGAGGGGGGGACGGCTTTTTAGAAGGCGCGGGTCTTCTCTATGGATGCAGGGCCGGCGAGATCTAAGATGCAGCCTCTCGGCGCTCCAGAAACGGAGGTCAATGCAAACGGGGGTCAGCCAGAGCGCCCGATCTTGCAGGATCCTGCAGGGCCAGGGTCGCATTGACCCAGGTTTGGGTGCAGGATCCTGCAGGATCCTTCGCATTGACCCGGGTTTTTGGGTGCAGGATCTTGCAGGAGTCTGCAAGGCCTGACTGACCCGGGTCTGGATTGACCCTGGTCAGAAGATCCCCGAGCCTCCTTCTGAGAAGCCTTCCCCCCCGAACCCCCCCCCCTGCCTTGGCATCGCTCGGACGTGTGCAGTTTTCCCACGCACGAAACCGACAAAAAGCACAGGGAATGGACGTCCGAGCGATGGCCAGCGGCCCCCCCCTGTGCGCGCCGCCAAGAGGTGCGCGGAGGGCGGGGCCCTCCTGCGCGCCGCAGGCTGGTGCGCGGGCGGCCGCTGGAGTCGGTGCAGGGCGGGAGCCTCCGAGGACGGCCCCCGCGGCCTGCCGCCCTCCGCCTGCCGCCTCGGGCGGGCGTCGCCGCCGCCCGAGACGCTCGAGAGATGGGGAACGGGCGGCGAGCGAGGGGGGGGGAGTGAGAAGGACAAGGCCTTCCCAGAAGGCGGCGGGGCTTCCCAGAAGCCCTCCGGCCTTCTGGGAAGGTTTCCGTGTCTTCGGGGAAGGCTCGGGAAGTTGTCCAGAAGGCCAGGGGACTTCCCAGCGGTCTGAGAAGGCCCGCCCCCCCTCACTTCCCCCCTCGCTCGCCGCCGAGGGGAGGGAGAGCGGATGCGAAGTCTTGCACGCACCGTTTTTGTCTGGTTTCGGGCTCCGGGGCCGTCACAGGGGCCTCAACGGGCCGTCACGGGCTCTGGGGCCGTCCAGGGCTCCGGTCGTGATTTGTTTACGCTATTGTGATTCTTCTCGCGTGGGGCTCTCGAAAATGGGTGAAGGACATCGGAGACGAAGGTCGACAGCGCCGTCGCCGTGGACGCTGCCGCTCGAAGCGCTCGAAATGGGTAAGGGAGAGCGGAGACAAAGGTCGACAGCAGTCCATGCCCATTTTGAGCAGAGTTGCGCTGTCTGCGTCGCCGCCGCCGGCGTTGTCCATTTTAGGCAGAAGGGCCGCCTGCCCAGAGCGGCCACCACTGCCAGTGTTGGACAACCCTGGTGGTTGGGCATCGTGCCCATGTTTTCTTCGCCCATGTCGGGCGTGCCAAGATGTTGTCGTCGCCGCCGTCGGCGTCGACGCTGCGACCGCGGCCCCTTCGACGCCGCCGTCGCCTTGCGAACCTCTGGCGGCTCGAGAGTTCGAGGTGTCGCTCGCCGAGGTTGTTTGGTGCTCTCGGCCTTCACGTGGCGACGGCTGGATCTGGCTCGGAGCTTTCTGGCCAGAGCGCGCGCCTGGGCAGGTCCGAGTGCCGACTTTTGACTCCGGGGCCCAGGCCCCTGGCGACTCGAAGGTTCGAGAGATTCGTGAACCAGTGCTTTTGGGCATTGCTCGGCCTTTTTTGGACCACGGCTGGATTCGTCTCGGAATCGGGGCCAGAACGCACCCGTGAAAGGGTCCTGGGGATGAGTTCGAGTGCAGCCGAATTGGATTTTTTCGGTGGCCTGGACTGACTAACGGACTGATTGATTGACTGAATGGCCGCGCCCGTTAGGCGGCCGTTGTTCATGCCTGCCGCGGAGATCGCAACCAATGGCGCCACCAATAGCATCCCATCTTGTTCTAGTTTGCCGAGGGCGCAGCCTCTGGCGCAACCATAAGCAGGTCTTCTTATTCTCGGGCGCCAGGTGCGCAACCAATGTTTGGCCTCACCAATGACAGGCCGGCTTGCTTTCGACTGCAGAGTGCGCAACCTATGCGCTACCAATTTGTCACTAGCAGGCCGTTGTATCATCGTATCATCGTCCCCCGAATGCTCAACCTATGGCGCAACCACTGGCAGCCCGTTTGATTCTCGGCCGCCGAGTGCTCCACTATGGCGCTACCCAAGGAGGCTCAATTCATGGATGGCGCATTGCGCAACCCATGGATGGCGGACCCCACGGCTAGCGCAACTCATGGTTCGCGTAAGCTGTGGGCAACCCATGGCACACCGCAGGGGTGGCACACACCCCTGGGAGGTTCTTCAGAGTTGCCCGGCGGTGGCGAAGTTCTGCTGCCCGCGGAAATCGAAGTCAGTGTTCTCCTTGCTCTCAATATTTACGCGCGCAGCCCTCGACTCGTTTTTGTCGCACGGCGGACTTCCGCCAGACTAACTCGCCAGGGCCGTTAAATTGCATACTTTCTGCCAGGGATGTGAATACTATGTTGTCGGTATTTGCCGAAACACACCTACCTGTGTTAACTCTTATCCGCACCAAGTGTTGTAAACATGGGCAGGCAGAGTAGGTTCTCATCGTTACTCCCCGCGCTATCCTTGCAGCGCACGTTGCACTGAATTCTTAGTGACGTATTCAATTTGTATGACTCCATCCCCGCCGTCTACCGCCGCCGCCGCTGTCGTCAGCGGACGCTGCCACCCGTCATCGGACATTCGGAAAGTATGCAGCCGTACATGTCTGCAGGTAGGTGAATAAATGGGGCGCGCCGCCGTCGTCTGTCGTCGCCGGCCCGCCGGACCCTCCCTTAGCAGATCTACCTGTTCGCCTCCGCACGGATATCTGTTTATCTAATCGTTTCGCTTATTCCGCCGGCCCATTTTTGCGCACCGCTGTGTCGGCTGGCCGAGTGGTCGTAGGCAGTGCGGAACTGCAGGGTCGGCGTGTGCGTCTGTGAGACATTGATTTCGGCATGTTTAGGGTTGAAGCAGTTCCCGTGGAGCAGCCGCGTGGCCATGCCTCGTGGCCATTGTTTGGACATTGTGGAGAAGATGTCCGAGGTCCGTTGGTCTCTTACGTGGTTTCTGGGTGTTTGCCGCCTTGTGAGATTTCTGGTTTATTGTGGGGGTTGTTGCCTGCGGAAGCTGGCGTTGGGGCCGTTCGAGTGAGAGGAGGAGAGATCTGGTGCGATGAAAGAACCCTCGTTTTGAGGGTGGCGGGCTTTGAATGGGAACATCGGCTCCCATCTTGTCCTGATGTCGATTGTCATGTGCGTGGGTTGTGGGTCAGACTACTCAGAGATGCTTCTTGGGGTCTTCTCGGAGCGTGGTCGTGAGCTTCTGGAGGGCAGTGCGCAGTGAACTCTTGGAAGTTCTCCGAGGCTTTCGGGGACGTCTTAACCTGGAGCCTGTTTGCGGCTCTTTGGGGCCTCTTGGCGGCCTCCTGATTGCCTGTTGGGGGCCTCTTGGCATCTACCTGTTCGCTTCCGCAACGGATATCTGTTTACTCTAGCCATGTCGGACTCGATGACGATCCCGCCTACTGGAGATACATATATCTATATATATATACACATATATACGCAAACAGCTAACAGTAGACCAAGCTAGCATACCAATCATAGTGTCAGAATCTCCCGATGCTCTAGCAAATAATTCAACCCACAGGGTGCCCCACCTTCGACGCATTGTCGCCCCCGGCGAATCCTCGCCTTCGGCGGGAGGCCGTCGGAAGCAAAGTGGCGGCAGGTCCGTCTGCGGGAGCCTGCGGAAGGTCGCGGGAGCACAGATGAGACGTTACAAATGTGCAGTAGTTTTCGGATCAGACCGTCCACTCGTGCTGCAGTGCACGCGTGCTTCCGGGCCCGGCCCGTTCATCACCAACGTGTGCAACATTGTTTATGATGCAAGTCGTGGAAGTTTGGATTCAGCATTGTAGCAGTGCATTCTACATAACCCTTGGTAAGGAACTGTGAGAGATTGTGAGGGGCGGGTTCGCTCCGCAGTCGTGTTGGTTCAAAACCATCTAGTCATGGTAGTGGGAGCTGGTTCATTGCGATCCAGCGGCAACCTTTCCACATCCTCGGGCGCGGGGCGCCCCGATAGCGACGACGAGCTTTCTTAGAAAACTGATTGGCGTGTGGTTCGGCGCAGCAGGCGTGACTGGTCTGCGCACGAACAGTGGTGGAGAGTTTGCGAGCAGCTCTGGAGAATCAGACGGCTTCAGCGCTACTGGGGCCACGTTGGGCAACTACTTCAGAGGGTATGTGCCAAGGAGCTGCGTGAGAGGCTTCGACTGTGTATTACGCCGTCGAGATAATGAGCACGCCAGAAGAGCAGCTGCAGCAGTTGACGGCACAAGTGCGAGAACTCACGACAGAGTTGACGAGGCAGAGGGACCTGATGAACACAGTCCAGGCCCAACGAGTGCAGGACCTCGAGGCAATGACCAAGCTGCAGCAGACGATCATCCTGGAGAAGGAAACGACCAAGAAGAAGGTGCAGTTGGTAGACGTCAAGGGTATTGGTAAGCCGACGGTCTTCAACAGCGACATGAAGGCGTGGGGCGGCTGGGCTTTCAAGTTGACCAATTTCCTGGAGAGTGTGACGACGGGCATCAAGGAGGCCCTGAACTACGTCCAAGATCAGGAAGAGCCGCTCACGAGAGAGAACTTTGACGAGGTCGGGGAGATCTTCACCTTAGAGCACGAGGGCACGGACATCAAGACCATCGGCCGGCAGCTGTACACGGTGTTGGCTCAGCTCTGCGATGGCGAGGCTCTGGATCTAGTGCAGGCGACGAAAGACAACGACGGATTCGAAGCTTGGCGTGTGATGGCGAGGAGGTTCGACCCACAAGGAGCTGGCAGGAAGCGCAATATCCTGGGCTCGCTAATTCAACCGGGAGCGGTCGACGCCCCGCAGCTGAACAGCCACATAGCCAAGTGGGAAAAGCGGGTCCGCGTCTACGAGAGGCGGGCCGGCCATGCGATGCAGGAGGACATCAAAGCGCAGGTGCTCGTGAGCATGACAAAGGGCGTGCTCAAGGACCACCTGGTGCTCAACGCGAACAAGCTCAAGACGTACGTGAGTGTGCGCGAGGAGGTCCAGAGCTACTTGGAGTCGAAGGTGAACGACCATGCGACCCCCATGGACGTCGGCAGCCTCAACCAGAAGGACATCACCTGCAACAACTGCGGCAAGAAAGGCCGCAAGAAGGTCGACTGCTGGATGCCAGGCGGAGGTGCGCACAAGGGCACCCAGATCAGTTGAGCGGAAGATCGGGACAAATCGGAACCAGAGATTCTGGGAGAGTTCCAAAGAAAAATAGAACGCCGAATTGCGGAGCGCAGCGCGCGCATTCGCAGAAGTTCCCCAGGGTTTTTCGAGGGCTTGAGGAGCCCAAGTAACGCATGGGCGCTCAATTAAACTGTTGAGGGCGGGCAGAAAAGCTGGTGCGCACGAGCATTGGGAGCGGGTGCGCGGCTTGCACGGGGGGCGCAGTATGCTTGCGTTTCAGGGGCTTGGGCGCTGGTCGATGCGTTGATGGGGGGCCCGAGAGCGCGTCACACATATTACGCCTGTGGCGCCATGGGGGCCGCATGTGCGGCTGCAGTGGGGCGGGCGCCCCGCCGCGCGCACCGTCGCGACAGCTCTCTTGGGCGCCCGC